TAAATTACACATCTATCTATCTATCTCCAGGTAACAAGGGGCACTGAGAAAGTCAGATATACAAATATCTATTATCTCTGGCGTGTGTGTGTTGTCTGTATATCTGACTGTCTCGCACCCCTTGTTACCCAGATATGGCAAAAATACAAGGAAAAATATGAATGGTAAGTCTTCATTCATGTAAGAAACATGATCAGTCAGGAAATGAAGTATCTATATCTATATCTATCTATCTATCTATAGATCCACGCTTACATCTCCACAGATAGATAGATAGATATCTGTGGAGATGTAAGCATGTGTGTGTCTGAAGATTCTCACCCAGGAGGGTACTTTAGAAACGATTTGGAGTTATGGATTAAAATTACACTGTAAGAAAGACTAATAGTGTGAACTGGTGTCTATGCTGGGTTTGGCAGGTTGTATATGGTTTGTTGTTCTGATGCCTATGGGTATGAATAAATCAGACCAGCTTATACCCTCCTGTTAACTGATGTACTGTTGGGGAAACTGAGTTACCACTGCCACATACCTGCATATCTCTCTGTCTCTGCCCCTCACCCCCATATTTGTTACTTGTTCCAGTACATTTTTATAGGTATTGTGCATGCTTCTGGACTTTGCTGGTTGCATACCTGTCAGGGTGTTTTTAAGCCTCCCTCATAGGCATTGGGTGCTGTTGGCAGGGGACTTGTCCTATGGTGTTTCTGCAGGAACTGTGGCCAGAGGTGCTGGCTAGAGGGTCTTACCCCTCCACTCAGGGTCAGATCAATCATCACCCTGGGCTCAGAAAGGAATTTTACCCCATGGTCAGATCCGCACGGGCATGGCGGGGTTTGCCTTCCTCTATAGAAAGCGATCCTCTTGAGCATATGTTGACACCCTTTCACAGAACCGGGACACCGGCTGCTGGGGCTGCCCCGCTTCCCCTGGCAGGTGACGGTGTTAGGTCTATGTCGTGTCCGGGTTGCCAGCATCTTGGGTGGCGTTGAGACGAGGGCTGGTCCTGCCTCAGGCGGGGGTTGGACTAGATGACCTCGGGAGGTCTTTTCCAGCTCTCCTGCCTTCTAGGCTGTCTTAGTTATTCATGATTGATATTAACTAACCAGAAGAACAATGAATAAGAATCACGAAGCACGAGGAAAAGGCTGCCAAGGGATTCGGGCGCCGCCACGCACCCGCGGGGGTGGGGATTTGGGGGCCGGAAGGCGGTGCTTGTGCATCCGGGCAGCGCGCGAGGGGTGGGCCGTGTCTCCGCCTCCCCGCAGCGGCTGCAGGGCCCGGCGGCTCCCCGCGGGGCCCGGGCACAGGATGCGGGTGACGCGGAAGCGGCTGTGCTCCGCGCTGGGCGCCGCCTACGCGCTCTTCTCCCTCTCCGCCGCCTACAGCGTCTTC